GAGTATAACATTACAACATGATATAAAACTAAAAAAAAGATTTTACATGATATTGCCCCTTTAAGATGTGGTTGTAACATTTTTTATCTTGATCAAAACTGAACCGGGGGTGACTTCTATTAATTACAGAATCTAAAATGTGTGTTACGGTAATAAATTTATTATTATTTTAAAATTTACTGTTATTTAACCAGGCAAGTCCCGCTGAGATCACAAATCTCTTTTTCAAGGGAGGCCTGGAGGTAACCTGTTGTACATATTTCTGGGGTGTGGGGGAAACCGGAGCACCTGGAGAAAACCCACATAAGCACGAGGAGAACATACAAACTCCACACAGAAAGACCCCAGGTCCGAATKMGGGATCTAACCCAGGACCTTATTGCTGTGCYGCGTCGGTGCTAACCACTGAGCCGTCGTGCTGCCAGATGTACTCTAGCATGCGTTTTGACACATTTCTTGCAGGAAAATATTTGGACCGAGAAAACCCAAGGTATTTTCTTGTATTAATTTGCTGTGAATAACATCAATGTTTAACAACAACAGCTTCATGGTCTGAGGACTGGTTTAGACCAGGAAGCCTGCAGACGTTGTTTCAGTGAGGTGGCAGAATGACCTCAGCTCTAAATGTGGTAAAAACATGTCTTCAGAACTTCTTTTCTGTGACGGCTTCCACAGAAAGTCTGGTTGTTATGAATGCATCTTACAGAAGGAATTCATTAATTTATGGGTCAATCAGACAAAAACARTGTTCAAAGTCAGACTGATGCTGTTCTAGCTCACACACGCAACACAATGGAAGTGCTGTGAGTTCATCAACTGGTGGTCCATGGGTCGTATCTGGCCAGCGAGCTCTGTCCATTCGGTCCACAAAGCATAATCAGATTGGTGTAAAATAACTCAGCCACATGGTCATGTTCATAGCAGCAGGTGCTCTGGRTCTTTAGCTCAGTAGGATGGGAAAAAAGGTGAAAACATATATTAAATGACCAAGTGTCTCTGCCTTGTTTAATTGTTGGACACTGGAGTCAACTGGCCTTGCTTTATAGAAGCTGCCATGCTGTATTATTGGAATAAAAGTCTGGGAAATAAAAATGTAGGACTTTAAGTACCGCCTACTCCTCCATTCACTATCATGGCATTACACGACCTGTCTTTTAAAGAGAACTGGTAATTTTTGAAGTGATTTTTTTTGGCAAATATAGTTATCAACAGTTTGTTATCAGCCACAGAGCTCAGGGAAAAGGACAAGAGTCTTCATCTTCTTTTGGTTTTGGTTTCCTTCAAACATTGAAACATTTTTATTTGTGTTTTATTTGATTACTACTTTTTATTTTTCTATTTTATGATTGTATTGTATTCTATGACTGTATGCAGCACTTTGGTCATGTCGGTGTTTAAAGTGCTTTACAAATAAAGTTGGTGTGGTATTCATTCAGTTTACGTCCAAACTCCCACTTTGTTGTTTTTCTCTCATGCATTTTTTTTACAGATGAAGTCACAACCAAAATGTCTCAACAGGAACAAAAAAGTGGAACATTGTCCTACATCCTTGAGGAAAAAAAACCCCAACCCAGCATGGATGCTGTCAAATTCTGGGAGCAGAAATATAAATAAATAAAACAGACGAGTCATAATTACCAGAAAGATGGCTAATCAAAGGTCGGCCCCCGCACTGTCTGATTACAAAGATTCTGGCCCCTTGAGAAAATTTTAGTGGATGACCCCTGGCCTACACACACACACACACACACACACACACACACAC